GTCGCAGGGCCAACACACAGAGACAGACAACCATTCACACTCACATTCACACCTAGTGGCAATTTGGATTATCCAATTAACCTATCCCCACAAGCATATATAAACATATATAAATAAAACCACTTTTTATTTACATTAGTAATTCCTTTTGTTTGTTGTTAATAATAAATTAATTAAAGCAACAAAATAACCTGAAGAGCCGGTTCGGAGCCGAAAGAGCCGGTTCTCTAAAAAGAGCCAGAAATCCCATCACTAGCCTTCATACGTGCTTCAGGTTCCTGCAAAATCCAATACTGTCAGTCCTCTACATTCCTCTCCTTAACAGCATACCCACCCAATATCTTCTCATCATCTCTGTTCATCTACATGTCTATTATGGTCAGCAACATTAACATTCATCAGTATTTACAAGACTATTCACATACTCTTTCTTCAAGATTGCCCCTATTCCATTTTATGTTGGATGCCCATCCTAACATGACCCTTCCCAGGGACCAGCACTAGTAGTACACTGACTAGTGGCTGCCCTGTGGTTGCGTTTGGTGTTCTTGCTGCGCCTTTCCAGCAAGAATACCAAATTCAAGACATGGAGTGAATGAATGAGAATGAGAGACCAACCCAATTACAGCCATGTGAAGAAAGCAACCTGCAAATGTACTGCCTACATAAAGCAGAGACAGGAGTTCAAAGTGTACAGGGTGGCACTGTAACCTGATTGGCTACAGTAAGAACATAAACTCATGCTATCTGTTTGGGAGTATGTTTGTGTTGACTTGAGCCTCATATTGATCTCCAATCTCAGTAAAAACCTGTGTTTTTTATGAAGGCCTGGGTTGTAAGGCAGTGGTTTCACTGGTCTCAACTGAATATGAAAGGCAGAAGAGGCCAGCTGCCTCTGCTTTGCCAGCAACACCCTGTAGGAGGTGCTCTAGTAGAAGAACTCCAGGAAAATGAAAAAAACAACTGAAGGATGATGATGCAGCTGGTGTTGGTGGTTTTGATAAACAGAGTAACAAGTGCGCTTAAAATTAAAGTTAATGTCAAAGTGCAATTAAAAACAGCAATATTTCAAAACAAAAACAAGCCAAAAGGACTGAAGTCCAGCACAGACAGGTCAGAAATCATCTGTCTTGTTGGTGCTTTTGGCAGATTTCAGTCTGTAAATATTGCCAAATATCAATGATGTGACTAAATACGAGATCATCTAAGTAAAGAAATGCACACACATGAAGTATGTAATAAACACACATCTTCAAGACACGTTACTGTCTCTGTTTATAGCAGTGAAGACAAACAGGAAATAAGTCAAAGCGCTGGTTAGCAGTTTGGTTACTG